CTCAGGGATCCATGACGATGGGTCCAATGATCGACAACCTCTTTTTGTCCTTTTGCTTCGACCCTGGATGCCTGTCTGCGTCTGCCAGCCTCGGTTCCGGGAGGGCAAACCCAACAAGACTCATCCATAGGTACCAACATATCCCGATACATGCCTTTCCTTCTACACTTTTGCTGGACAGTTTCAAAAGCTGCGATGTCCCTGCCGCAACCCGAAATCTCTGCCAAAAAAATTCGGCTGTGCTATCCGAAGATGGCGATGCTCAGCTCATCCAGCTTCATAATCGTAGAAGCTGGACCCCAACTTGGCGGGCCGGCCATTATACTTTTTATCTGCTGTTGAGAGTTCTGATTGTTTGTCTCCCGGGGGGGGTTGTGGGAGAAAAGAAAAATGTTGAAAAAAAAATTGATCAAATCGCCAACGTCAATTGTGCCTGACCCACGGGCGAGTCAGTCGGTCACGTCATGTTGTTCGTCGCCTATGCAGGTGTGGTTTGAGCTGGCTGGGAAGTCAGGCTTAGGTTCGGTAGGTGACAGGAAAGGGGCCGAGAAAGGTACCGATAAGATGAACTTTGGCCTTTTCGAGAGTGCATCGGTGTGATGAGATGAACTTTCATTGAGTGCACAATTGTCAATTGAGAATTATACAAATTGTCTGTCCGGAATTCTTCAGGTGTCCGAGCCCATCGACATCGACATCTTGCCTCGGCTCCCGTTGATTCAGGTGAAACCTCAAGGTGGAGAGTTTCACCTTCACTTCACCGTGCTCGGTGAACGCCCACCGTAAAAAGGCGGCGGTGGCACACTCTCCCTTCTCTCACGCTACAAGAACTCCATTATGATGAAACTCGCCAACCCGGCAGAATCAACAGAAATGCCCCGAAACGGACACCAGCATCTGGCTGTTTCATATTCCCAGTCTTGCCTTCTTTAGGCATTTTGCTCTGCCCCAGCAACGCTTCGAGGAGTGAGTGTTTCATGTTTCTTAAAGGTGCATATCCACTATAAAGTGTGTGCTTGGAGGAAGCATGCTGTGACATCCGTCTAGGATGGGCTCTCTCATGAGTAAATGAATGAGTGAGCAAAACGGGTGAGAGGAACATGAACTTAGCCGTGAGCCAACAAGTGTTGGAAGACTCACATCAGCCTTTGTTCTTTTCTTTTTTTTTTTTTTTTTTTTTTTTGCCTTGGCTCTGCCTCGCCTGTTTGCCTTGCTGCATGCCCCAGAGAAGGCACATACGACGTCGCTGAACCAACAGCATGTCTTTTGTTACTTCATCTCACACGTGACCCACTACAACTCTTACAATACGCGAGGCTCAAATCGCTCAAGCTGAACGAAACATTCGACGGTTCAACGCTCCAACAAATGTTACAGCAGATTGGCGGTCTCTCCCCGTAGCAGCTGCTGCCTGCTGCCTGTAGATATGTGGTGCTTCGGCTGGCGGCAGGATGACCGCAGGAGCCTATCTCCCTACGTGCCTCTTGTCGGGAATAGGCATAGTACGGTCAAGCCAATGATGCAGGCGCTTCATGTGTGCAGCAGTCGAGAAGTGTTAAGAGTGTGCTTAGGTACTGCTGCCTACGTTGGGAACTCGAGTCCAAGGCAAGTCTCTTGAATTGAAGCCCGGCGGGGAGGTTATGGGTCGTGCGTCCTGCCGTGATGGTGATCAAGGAGCCTTGGGCCGGAACGGAATCGATAAGGACCATTTCAAAGCACCAGTCTCGGAGAGATTTGTTTCGCGTTCTGCAGGAATGCGGCGCTGGATGGACTACTGGTAGAGAGGGATGGAAACGACGAGGAGGTAGGGTCTAGTTAGAAGGTGCTGAGAAGCTACTTACAGCTCTGTAGTCGGCGACAAACAATCTTTTCTATATCCTGCAATCAAACGACTGAGAGAGGGTGAGGCTGGGAAGATGAAGTAAGAAAGTAACAGAGGAGTTTGTTGCAAAAGTTTCTCGTCAGTTGAATTAGCTGCTGCCATACTAAAACGTAATACAGTTAAAGCAGGTAAAAACTTGCCGCCGGCTGAGCAGCGAGTACCGGTGATACAAATAAGGATAGAGCGCTAGACATAGAATAAATCTAACGCCGAAAGGATCTCATCGCTCCCTAAGTCTGCGAGATCCCGGCTTCTCTGCAACCTCACTCCTTCATGGACGATACGTGTCGCCTTACGACTGCCTTCAGCCGTGAAAGTTGCGCCATTGACAGAGGGTCCGTACGGATGCGGTGCTTCTCTGTTGGCTCTTGAGCAGCTATGCGGCTGGAATCACTCCTACAGCTTTCATTAAACGATTACAAAGCACCGATTAGGACCGCTCACACCAGGATGGCATTCCCTGAGGGAGAAAGTTCGCAACCAGGTGAGGTGTAGGTACACATATGCAAGCGCTCTTGGCCTCACCAAGCTTGACGGAATCACGTGGACTCATAGCGCTTAGAGAGCGAGAAGGAACATGACTTCCCCCATGACATATGATACATATCACATTAAGTGATCAAAGGCTAGCCATGTCATCATGATAATCCCGGCGTATAGCAAGTCACACCTTGGTTATCAACTTTGTCTTCTACCGAACCCCATGGGGGGATCACACCGGTCGTCGGGTACCATTTCCATGCCGGCCAACAAGTCATTAACACTTCTCGACCAGGTCGGGAGCCCCCAAGGCCGGGATGACTGTACAAGATTCACTGGCTCAGCCGAGTAACCGTCTGCCCCAGACTGCCGGCGCTTGGGGCGGATGACTAGCTGTTGTGGACGTGTGATATCAGCAGCCACTTACAGCTTGTCATACAATCTGCGGCAGACCGAAGCAAGACTTGGGCCGAAAGACATACCTGGATATATGGTCGTCAGGGGACAGGGCGGGAGTATATCTCACTCACATAGAAAATGGACAGGCACCGATAAATCAGCGTCTGAAGATTAAGCAAGTCTTGGCACATGCACATACACTCAAGCACCTACATTGGCTTCTATCAACATTAATATCTTCGGTGACAAACTCTTCTCTTCCTTGATTGCAAAAGGGAACAGACAGCTCACTCTCAACCCCACTCGACCGGTATGGCTCCTGGCAACAACCACTTCCCAGAGTCGAAGCAGCCAGCCGCATCATCTGTTGGCCAATGGAGGGTAACCCTCCATTAAGAAACATACAGCACGGCGAATGCAAATTATCTATTCCATTCGCAGTCCTTTCAATACCTGATGCCGCGGTATGCAAATGTGTTTGATATTATTTGACGTCTGCATATGGGACTGATAAGGCATGGTTTTGCACACTCGTTCGTATAGACCCCGTGATCCAGCCACGGGAACAAGTTTATGGGAGGCGCGGGAATCGCTGTGGTTGGCCGCAGATTGTCCCTGCGTAAGCCCCGAAAGTCGGTCACAGAACGTCTGTTGTTGGATGGTCAGGCCATCACCCCGCAACCGGGCTGAGAAAGGCAAAACAACCTCTGGACGCCCAGTGGCCTATTTACTAGCCATCTAGGTCCTCTTTGATTCGCTGCCGGCATTAGAATCATGCGGTAGTCCTGCTAGAGGACTCGAGGTCGGGACGCTTTGTCAAGCGTAGCATATTGTGTATTAATCGTGTCTTGTGTGAATAAAGGATATACCTAGGTGCTAGCATGTACAAAGAATGCCGAAAGATCAAGACAACCAACCAACAACGCCGAGAACAACCCTCATCATTTAGGCAAAGAGGCCTGCCTTTCCCTCTTTTTGGTCCACTCGTGGTGCATGTAGCCGTGTCATGATTGTCTTCTTACATCCCAATGAAGATGGAGATCTGTTTGCCCGAGTTCGATTTGTCAGCGCGACCACCGATCTGGAGGTTGTCTCAAAGAAAGGTAGAATGGGGGAACATACCGCCATCAGGATGCATGCTATACTCACGTAGGGGCTTAATCTTTCCCCTATGCGGGCGCACTTCCAAAATATGCCCATTACTCTGTCATTTCCGGTTCGTGTCAGCACCGCTCTTTTCTCTCAAGTCCCCTCTCACTTAGGGTGAGAGAGAATCTACCCAGTCTTATTCCGATCCAAGATAGCCGGAAACAATTGGTGCACATAGGCACAAGTACTTTATTTCCCCAAAATTAACTATGGTCAGCTTCAATCCCCCTCAAAAAATCTTTCTAATCATAAAATATCTGAAGAAACTCGTAATCTGATGTGGTTCTCTGTGCTAGGGAAGCAGGGGTACGGGAGGGCAGGGAGGGAGCATGGTGAAAAAAAAAAAGAGTATCGAGCCCCGGAGGAATGCGATAGGGACGAAATTCGACGTATTCTCTGTACCATATGAGGAGAGTGATTACGAGCAGGAGGCTCGTGAAGTTGAATAGAGCAGTCTGGAAGAGGAGAGTTAGCCATGTTCTTGCCTGTTGGGTGGCATTTGGATAGGGGGAGGTGGACAGCAAGATTCACCGAATTCGAGGGACGTACCATGTTGGCTGATTTTTTTTGTGGTCCTGGAAACTTGCGAGCTTTTGCAACAGACGATGCACTCAAATTTCTCTGACTTTTTTTTTTTCCGTCGTCTGATCACAGAGATTCTAAGAAGTCGGGCAGTCGGCGTCTGTCAGCTTGTGATGACAGCTTGCGACGTGATGCCAAGCTTGGCTTGTGACACAGGAGCGCGATCGGTTGCCAAGACCTGGACCCACTCCAACGCGTCCGGCTAAGACTTAACATGGCCCCCCAGGGTCACTCACTTGTGGAGGCCCCACTTGGCTTGAGCTGCAGCCTCATGTTCGGCCTGGCTGTCTCTCTCAGACGAAGGTTTCATCAGCTTCATGAGACTCGAGTTTGCTCTCTGCTGGACAGCTCTTTGAGATAACTTGCCAATACGTCAGAAACTCAAAATACGAAAACTCGGAGGACACTGTAATCTTATTTGAGACTCAGAATTAAGTAATAAAAACGAGTCAAGAAAACCAATCCGTCAAGTCAAATCACTCTCTTTTCATCACCTCCCGCCATCAAAATGGAGCCTAGAGCGCGCGCCGGCAAAAATGTCGGCAAGATGAACTTTACTTACAACGAGTGTACACTCTTCTCCCCCCTCCCTCCTCCCCCCCTCCCCCTTCCCCCCCTCCCCCAATAACCACGTCATCCCCATCAATCTCTAACACCTCCTTAGTAGCCCAACTCCTCTATTCCCACGGTGACGTATCGCGTCCTCTACCGGAGACCGTCCGCGTGCTCGACGAAATAGTCACGGAGTTCATCCAGGGCGTGGCCTTTGAAGCGACGCGCGCGGCCCAGCACGCGGGTCGACAAAAAGTCAAGTTCGAGGACTTCGAGTTTGCGATGCGGCGCAACCCGTACTATATGGGCAAGATCCAGGAGGTATTTGAGAAGAAGCGGGAGATTGAGGCGGCGCGGAAATTGTTGGACGAGAAGGATTTAATTAAGGAGGCTGAAAAGGAGGAGAAGGAACGGGGGAAACGGGGGAGAAAGGCGAAGAGCGCCGTGGGAGGAGCCGGGGGGGCGGGAGGGACGGCGGAGGAGGGGGAAGAGGTGTTGGGGGAACAAGATGATGATGTGCAGGCGGAGGAGGATGTGGGGAGTACGGTTAGGAAGAGATAGCGCTTGGGATGGGTTTGGTATGGGTTTGTAGAGGTTTTGTTTAGACACGGCGTCGGGCGTACTGTGTGCATTATTCTCCTTCTTGGTAATCCTAATGAGCATATCGTTCCCTTTTTATCAACAACATCCTTTTAAAACAGCAACCTCAACCTCGCCTCTCACCTGCTTTCAAACCTCAACCCTCCCCACAAGCCGACATCACTAGCATGAAATATAGCGTACTAACATCTTGACCCTCGCCATCAAACCTTAACAAACGCCTTTTCAACACCCAATCTCCCAAACCTGCACCTCCACCCTGCACCCCTCCTCTCCCTCGACCCTCCCAACATTCGGCACCTCCCCCTCCCTTAGCTCAACCCCTTCAATCGCCCTCTTCGTACTCTCCCACGGCACGCCAAACAGCCCCGCATTAATCTTACACATCCTCACCTCTCTAATCATCTCCCCCCCCTCCTCAGCTTCGCAAACCAGCCTCATCAACCACCTCCACGCTTTTGCCGTAGCAGCGAGGATCTTGTCTTCACTGTCGCGTTTTTTGCCGTACGCTAGGCTGGTGAATAGACACCCTATGTAATGCCCTCTCACCCCAGGGCCAGTCCCATCCCCTTTACCGTCCTCCTTCAACCCTGGAAGGCTGGGCGAGTCGAGTGGTGGGATGAGCAGCGCCCGTCCGACTAACTCCCCCCGATTATGTTTGTGTCGCACACAGTGAGACTTGTAGACCTTGTATGCGCTAGGGTAGAGACGCGCGAACTGGGCGGCGATGCCGCCGCCCCAGGAGCCGAGGGTGTTGCAGGCGTGGATGAGAAGGGTGTTAGGGGGGGCGGTGGGGAAGAGAGAGCCGGTGTGGGGGACTATACGAGTAAAGGCCTTGGTCGGGGATGGGGGTTTTGTGGGGGATAGGGAAGGTTGGGGGTTGGGGGAATTGGTGGGGGAGGAAGGTGGTGGTGGTGCTAGAACAGAGGAAGTTGCGGTTGAGGTTGAGGTTGATGTTGGGGCTGAGGATGAGGCTGAGGATGAGGCTGACGCTGAGGGGGCGGCCTGTGGTTGAGCTGTGGCAGAGGGTGAGAGCGATGAGCGGGAGGTTACGTTCGTTTTCTTCGGGTCCTCAGACTCCTCACCCCCCTTCTGCGTTCCAGACGTAATCTCGTCACGTCCCTCCGTCACCTGTTTCTTTGGGTCGTCAGAACTGCTGCTAACATGGGTCTGTTCGCTCCTAGATAGCCTGGGCTTCTTCGAAGTGACGAAACCCAGCAGCGTCGTCTGCTTGAGCGAGCGTTTGGCGGGCATCTTCTGACTAATGCAACCGGGAAGGCTTTACGCGTCGCAATTGATGGAAAGACGCGTCTCATTGCATGTGACGGGTCTGGAAGCGGGTTTTACGCATACAGCGAGAGAGCCAAATCGTTGATGCCTCGAGATGAACTTGTGGTCGAAGCTGCTCTTTGTTTTAGAGGTGAGCGAGTACCAATTGGTAAGCGGGTATATAAGTGACACGTATCTTACGAGAGATTACATGTAAGTGAGGAAAGATTACACTGGGAATGGCTTCATCCAACCCCTGAAAGACAAAAAAACTCCTGAAATGATACTGACGTATCTTGCACAGATACCTCTCGACCGCCCAAGCTGTCAGATAGGACTCTCACGACGTCATCTTCATATGCAGATTGCCGGCACAAGTATATGCTTTTCTGGGACGGCCTCTGCTGTTCTCATTGTTCGTCAGGAAAAGAGTAAAGAAGCAACACTGAACAGAGAGCTCGACAAACCTCCGCTATTCACCACAGAACTTCAATTTTATGACGTAAAACAGCTAATCGAAAAGAAAGACGGAACGTCTCAACCAACAAGCAAGCATAACAAATGGTCAGAAAATCTACAAAAGTAAAAGAACCCCTAAGTATCTCGGATACGGGGAGTCGAACCCCGGGCTAGCGAGCACTCGCATGTGAGCTTTTTGAGAGTCGCTGATGTTACCGCTACACCATACCCGATCGTAAAGCCGTGTATGTTTTCTTCTCCGAAGCGAGAAGATGCCAGTTGAGAATGGGTAGCGGAACAGGAGCTCACCTAGTACTTACCAAGGTAGCTCCTCGGGTAAAGGGGAAAAAAAAAAAAAGCAACCAAGTCTGGATGGACTTGAAAGGATGGGGGAGGGGGGAACCAAAAAAAGTGGCTTGAGAAATAATCGACGAGAACGCTCACGACCGGTTATGCTTCATGGGAATACCGGATCTGCACCGGGATCTACCCACGGCATAGCCTGCGCCGCTCCATCACTCAATGGTCCTAAAAGCAGGAGCATGGAAGCTGGCCTATGTAGCTCCTCTCAGCCTCATGTGGTCGTGTCTTAGGTGGGACTACGGGATGGGAGGGGTGAGTCCCCAAACTGCCTGTCAACAGACGTCAAGTGCAAATTAGATTGAGAGTTTGAACTTATATCTCCCCTCTCGGTTATACAGTCTACTGCTTGCCTGCTTGCTTGTTTCAGCCTTATAGACCGTAGATCCACGTGAAGCATCGCTGTGGTTGGATCGACCTCGAGCCAGCCAGCCAGTCAGCCAGCGACTGACTGAAGCCGCAGACTCTAATGGCAAGGAAGAGAACACAGCAGGGAGACATGACATGACATGAACACTTGCAAGACATATATTGTGTTCACCAGCACGCACTTAATGTCCCAGCACTAAGCAAAAATCACCGTTGTCTATTTCTCTCGGGAGCAGCAGTAATGATGTACGTGCTGATGATGATACTTAGCCAGTCGTCCTCGTCCGGCTTGGCCGATCCTAACTCTACTCATCGCTCAACCTGTCCCCGCCTGCCTGCAAGCAAGCAAGCAAGCATGCATGCATGCAGGAGGATCTGAGTGTAAACGAAACGAACGGTATAACCTCTATCCGATGATAAAATTTAAAAAGAAAGTGAAGAGTGTAAGTGAAAGAAGAAGAAGGGTATGTTATGTGTATGCATGCATCCATCCCACCCAAGAAAAAGAATACAAGACTAAAGAGCATACAGAAGAGAAGTGTCCAGCGTGGACTGATCAAGAGAAACGAATTTAACCCTCGACGGAAGAAGAGAAATCTGTGACTGAATCCACGAACCAAAGCGGTATCTCCAACAAGCAAGCAAGCAAGCAACTGAACAGACTTTCCCCCCCCCCCTCTCTCTCCCACAAAAAAGAAGCAGAAGCCTCCTTCACAGAAAGCAAAAATAAAATAAAGCGTGCTTTTTTTGTCTTCCTTCAAACGAAAATTAAAGCATGAAACGCCCCATAACTGACTGAATCAACGCCCTGCGGTATGGTAAAGCAAGAAGCAACGGGAAAAAAAAACAGGCAATAAGAGTATGCTAAGCAGAAAAATAAGTCATAACCGACCCCTTCGTGATAAAGAAGATATCCTCATAGCACCGTTTGATTATCATCTGGGACTCAATAACCCCGTCTTCGCCGGCGTCGGCGGCGGCACTGCCCCGTCCGGCAGTCCAGAGCCCTTTTGAGCCTGTGCCTGCGCACGCTTAAGCGCACGAAGTTCCTCTTCGGCCTTGCGCCTTCTGGCTTGTTCTTCCTGTATCAAACAGTCAGCCTGCTACTCTCAAGACACACACACACACACACACACACACAACAAAAACAAAAAAAAAAGAAAAAAAAAGAAAAAAAAAGAAATCAAATAAAATAAATGCGTGAGTGAGTAGGGTAAAAACAAACCTTCAACTCCTCCTGCCACCTCTTCCTCTCCTCCTTGACCGCCGCCCTGAACTGCTCGCTCAACATATTCGCTCCAGCACTCCTCGCCGCGGCGGCGCCAGCCGCCGGACCGGTTGACATGGGCGTGGGCGTCGGAGGTGGCTTCAACCTCTCCCGATCCAACTCCTCCCTCAGCATCTCTACCTCCTTCTCCAGCCGCCCTCTCACCTCCTCGCTCTCCCTCCTCCTCGCCTCCGCCTCATCCAGCCGTCCCTCCAGCTCCAACCTCTCCTTCTCGGCCTTAATGCTCTCCCGTGTAATCTCCTCCAAATCCCTGAGCGCACTCTCCAGCTCCTTCCGCAGCCTCTCTTCCGCGGCACTGTTCGCAAGCGCAGCGGCCTCCGCCGCACGCTGCTTGCGCGTACCGTAGGCGCCGTCGAGCTCTGCCTTGGCGATGGCAACCTCGGTCTTGAGCTCGACGACCATCGAGTTCAAGGAGTCGAGCTCCTCGTCTTTGGCGGAGAGGTCGCGGCGGAGCTGGGCGACGGTTGCGTCGGCGGATTGGGCGGCTTCGATGGAAGCCGCGAGCTGGGACTCGAGCGCCGTGAGCTTGGTCTCGAGGTCTGCGCGGGACGTCGCCGCTGATGACAGCTCGGTCTGGAGGGAAGAGATTTGGGCCTCCGCGGCAGCGAGTTGTTCGCGTGCGGCGCGCAGTTCGGATTCCAGGGCCGAGATGCGCGTGGCCTTTTCGCGCAGCTGCTCCTGCAGGGCCTCGTCGTTGGCGGCATTTGATTTCTGGAGCGTCTCCATATCGGCCAGGACGCGCTGCAGCTGGGCCTGGGCGTGGCGCGCGGCCTGGTCGGCCTCCTCCAGCAGCATCTGCGTCCTGTGCAGCTCCTCGGTCTTGGCCTGAATCTCGAGGTCCTTCTCTGACTCGCTGCGGTTGTTGAGCTCCCGCTGCTGCTTGATCTGGCGCTGGAGGATGTATTTTTGCTCGCGCAGGCTCGTCGCCTGGGCGTACAACCACTGGACCTTGGTCGAGAAGGCCTGAAGAGAGTAGGGCTCGTTGGCATAGCCGGCGGCATCGAACTCGCCGCCGGATACGTCCCCATCCGAATCCTCTGCCCGGCGTGGGGACTCGCCGTCGCCCCGGATGATCTCCCACAGCCCCATGAGTACCGCGTCAACTTGATCAATGCTCTGCTTCCGAGCCCGGGCGGTCGACGACTCCTCGAGCGCCCTCGTAAGCTCGGAAGTGACGCTGCGCAGGGCGTCCTCAATGTAATCGAGGTGCTCATCCAGCGTGCCACTAACAGGGGGCTGCACCAGCTGTTCATTGTTGCCGCCAGCCTGCTGGACAACAAGCTGCATTTGCCTAGCCAGGGCCTGGACGCGATTATACGCCTGCGTAAGGGCGGCCTGGGTCGCGCCCAGGGTAGACGAGGCCTCAGCAACCTGGGCTTCCGTCGCCTGCGCCCGCTGGATAGCCTCCGCCTGCACCTTCTGCTCCTCAGCCGCGGCCACGAGCGCACGCTCGAGATACTCCAGCTGGCTGCGCAGGGTCTCGCCAGAACCAGCAGCCGGCTTGGGCTCTGCAAACTCGCTGTTCTCCTCGGGGTTGAAGGCGACGATGATGTCCCGCAGCTGGCGGTTGAGCATCTCGAGCCTCTTCTCGGTATCCCCGATCGTCCGCTGCTGGCCCTCGGTCTGGGCTACAACAGTCTCTTCGATAGCGCGCAGCCGGGCATCGGCCTCGCGCAGGCGGCTCGACTCGTCCTGCATTCGCGACGCCTCGTCCCGGATGCGCACGCACTCCTCACGCAGTTGCGCCGCCTCGGCCTTGGCGTCTTCATACTCGCCGCGGAGCTGCTCTTCGGTGCGGAGGAGCTGTCGCTGCTCGTCCTCAAGCTGGGCGATGCGCTCGCGCAGCTCGCGCTCGGCGGTCTTGAGCTCGATGTTTTCTTCCAGGATACGCTCGTTCTCTTCCTTGATGCGCTCCAATTCCTCACGCAGCTCGCGCAGCTGGGCGTTCTGCTCTCGGATGGGCGACTTCATGGGGATCTCGATCGTGTTCTTGCGGCGGTGACCGCCATCGTCAAGGGGCAGGTACATGCTGCGTTCGTCGAATTCCAGCTCGTCGTTCGGCAGCTCCAGACTATCCCTATTGTTGGAGTACGTGTACAGACTCTCGGGGCTGCCCGGAATGCCGGCCTGCATGGGCGGCCCAACAGGAGCCTGAGTGGTCTTTTTGGCGGAAGCACGATGCGTCAGCTGCAGGATGCCGGCGGTGTGTTGTAGCAGACGACGCTGGGGCTCCATGAGGCGCTTCTCGAGGGAAAACAGCTCTTTGGCCAGCTCCTCGCAGCGGCGCTCGCTGGCCTGCTTCTCCATCTCGGCCTCCTTGGCCGAGTCGCTCATACGGTTGCCGAGCAGGCTGCGGCGCTTGCTGTCCTTGGACGGGTTGTACAAGCGGGCCATGGACGAGGCAGCGTCACGGTACTTGGACTGGATGGCCAGGTTGGCGCGGGTCTGCTCGATGCGCATCGTCAGGGATTGGATCTGCTTCTTGAGGCTGTCGACCTCCTCCTGCGAGAGGATCTCGAAGTTTTTGGCGTCGGAGAGCGCGGTTTCTGTGAGGAGGTGAACCTGGATGGGGTCCTTGAGATCGACGAGCGGCGAGCTCTGGGGGTGGTCGGGATTCAACTACACTCCAGTTAGTTAAGCCTCGCAAAAAAAAAAGGAAAAGAAAAGAAAATAAAAAGAAAATACAAAAAAACAAACAAACAAAAAAAAAACAGGGCAGCTTAGCGTACAGGATTGTAACGAGGTCGCTCCGGCTCGAAGCCCGTCATGATGTCCATGCGGTAGCCCTCGACGAGGGCCTTGCCCGATGGGACAACATCAGGGGACTCCATGAAGGCGTTGCTGCTAGACCCAGGTCGTCTGCCGGCAACGTTCATGGTGTCTCGCAGTAAGCAATATCGAGTGCGTGTCTAAGGATAGCAAGAAGGCTATGGCGTATGCGATATCCAAAAAGACATGATCGTTAATGGCGAACGTCGGAGTAGCAGTAGCAGTACTCCTCTATCCCCGAGGTGCCTATTGTCGTCTGGCTGCAAGCACCTCCAACACAGCTGCAACAAGGGAGACAAGCTCAGGCTCAGCTAGCTCAGCTTCGGCTTTCTCGGCTTCGGGCTTCGGAAGTGCTGGCTGTCTTAAGCCTCGAGGCGTGCCATCCAATGCGAGAGACTAAAGAAATGGATCCTCGTCGTGGCTGTCGTCGGAGTGTGTGTCCTCGACTTGGGAAGAGGTCGTCTGTCCGACGAGCAACGCGAGAAATCGGGTTTAGGCACCGAAAGGCAGCCTGGCGACGTCGCCCTGCAGCAGAGCTGTTGTGAGAGAAGAAAAAAAAGATAAAAAAGTGGAAGAAGAGAAGCTGGACTGCGAGATGCGAGATGCGAGATGCGAAATGCGAAATGGGCAAGCTTAGGCTCAGCGCGCACGAGGGTCAAAGTGAAAAGTGGATCTCGATCCCTTAAACCGGCTCCCGCTAAAGCCTACGCTCACTTTCAGCTGTTGGTCCTTGCAATGTCGCAGGAGGTACCTCTTGTGCGGGCCGGTCTCTGTTCCGGGGGAGAGTGTGTGCATTCAGAACAGCCAAAACACAAGGTTTGGTTGAAGGAAATGATTGTAGAAATTCAAGAATAAAAGTTATCGAACCCTACAAATATACTTTGGTTCATTACAAAACCGGCCTGAAATCCCATCATCCAGCTGCCTAGCCCAAGTTGGGAATGCACTGCCCATTCCTCATGATGCGTTTGTGACATGCGTGTACACAGTACAAAGTGTAACACCCGATGTGGCATGGAATGCACAGGTCCAGCAGTCCCAGTGGTCCAGTGGAGACAGGCTGCGCGAGCCAGCGCGGGTGTGCGTGTGGGCTCTGCTGTTAAGCCGATCCGGGGCTCTGGGATACCCGAGGGCTGCAGCTGCAGGCAGACTCCCCAGTGATCTCCTCAGCCAATCGAACGATGAGACCTACTGTGCGTACAGCCTGGATGCGGGTACACGGGATATTCACCCTGTGCTGAACCTGTTGGATGACGGGAGAGAAACTTGGTGGCATCCATTTCATTTTTAGGAACCCGTACAACTCACTCGCTGGCCCTGAGCTGTTCACGACTCACACGACAGCAGTTGTCTTGGATGGGAGGAATGAAGCTTGGAAGATGCATGCGGTTCATGTGGCTCTAGGAATATCGTATGTGAGTCGATATGGCATGTGGCGATGGCTTTGGCCTTGTTTTTTTTTTTTTTGTTTTTTTTTGTTTGTTTGTTTCCAGCCGTAGGAGCTAGGGGGATGTCGTGGCGCAGCCTTTGACTCTGTGACTCTTGTGATCCCAACGGAATCCATACCGGGTACGAGCAATGAGTGCGTCTGCGGGAGACTTGTCAGGCCAGTTGGATTCCTCAGGAACAGCCTGCTTCCTTATAGGTAGATACCGAACCAGGAAGCATGCTTCTATTATGGTCAACCAGCCCCGCGTACGGATACGGATACAGATACGGATACAGATACAGATACAGATAGATACAGATAGACCCAATTCCTCAAAACGCCCCACGCACCTCATCTAAAATCTGCTGCCCCATCGTCCGTCGACGGTTACTACCCTCGACACCGCCCGCATGCTGCGCCCCTGACGCAGCCGCCGTCGAGACTCCTTCGCTCTCCAGTCTCCTCCGCATCCCCTCAAACCTCTCGTTGCTCTTACGGCCCCGCATGCCAACCAGCCATCCGGGCACCCGCCAGCGCGTGAGCGCCCCGGGCAGCAGCTCGCTGCGCCAGGCCTGGCCCACGAGCCAGCCGATACCCGCGCCGAGAAGGGACCCGGGCCACTGGAAGAAGGCGAGCTGCAACGCCATCAGGTACTTGGTCGATTTGTCGGAGAAGGTGATGCCCGGGACGGAGTCGTCGGCGTCGTTGGCGGACGGCGGACCGGTAGTCAGCGCGACCTTGTACTTGTAGATGTGTGGGATCATGGCGTGGTACTGCGCCAAGATGGCGAAGATGATGGGCGTGGGACCGGCCGGGAGGAAATCGAACATGCCGAAGGTCAGGGGCCGGAGGATAACAGCTAGTATGAGCGGCGGGAGGACGGCTGTCAGCAGGCCAGAGACGATGACGAAGGACTGGTTGATGTCAGCATAGGACCCCTCTTCTTTTTTATATTGCCCAGGAAAGGAAAACCTACCGCGAATTTCCTCGACCCCCACTGCTGCTCGACCGTCCGCATGTGGTATAGCGCCATGGCACCAAAGAGCACCTCGGACGAGTTGGTATAGCATAGCTGGTATACGAGAGCGCGCCACGTCTGCCTGTACGTAAAGAGATGCAGGCCGACCTGGATGTCGAAGTAATGCTTGATGTCGAACAGGCTGGCCGCGATCGACGTGCCCACCAGCCCGAGCACCATCGTGCGAGTTACGGGTGTGCTTGCGAACGACATTATGGCTGTTTAGACCCTCGAAGTCTGGCAGGCTGTTGCTGTTGCTGATACCGTCGTTGTTGCTGGTCTTGGTTGATGGCTACCTCCTCGACATGTCCGCGTTTGGTGAGTTGAGAGACAGAGGACAGCTTTGCAAGCTTGTCTGCCGCTCTGGGTTATGGATAATGGACTCTGTCGCTTTGATTCATCGATTGTGCAAATGGATGATGCTGCAACCTTGAATTCAAAAAAAAAAAGGCCAAAATTCAGACGGAAAGAGCCGCTATTGAGTCTCAAACAACTCGACTCACTGACATGAGATGGCGTTGTGTTGTCGCGGCTGAGTTCGAAGTTTGGGGGAGTTTGGTGAGTGGAACGGCAGCCACACACCTACGCTCTGTGAAATGCCACAATGCCACATGCACCGTTTCAGCGCCAAGACCAGCTCGGCCCAGGGATGACATCGATCCCCGACCCTGCTACCTCTGCCGACCCTGACCCTGGGGGACCTACAAAAATTCAGGGTGGATCCATTCCTCTCTTTAACTCCCACTTGTCGACACGCAAGCCGCAAGCCGGCCACTGTGAGGAGAGATCCATCACATAAGCCGCAGGGCCTTTGATTATCGTATCATTTTCTGCCCCTCTCGCCCTCGGTCGGCCATACTGCTGATTGTGACAGTCTGTCCATACACACAAGGGCAGACAGACGACTACCACGAGGATAAGTAATATTACGGAGACACCGCAGGACTGGTGCTCTCGGCCCAATCTTTTCTGTCTTCTCTCTACGATACTGCACTTCCCACACATCCCACTCTGAAGACCATGGCCGCGGCACTCTAAATCTGCCCGATAACATCATCTCTACCACCAGCCCTACCAGACTTACACCCTGCTACTTACTCTTCTTATTTTTCTCTTAAGCAAACGAGCAATCAATCAATCAAGCAAGCAAAGCAAAGCAGAGCAAGACAAAGCAAAGCAAAGGAAAGGAAAGGAAAGGAAAAGAAAGCATAGCATAGCAACGCAGCCCAGCGAAAAATGTCGGACCTATATCTGTCTAGGTTACGGAGCTGGTTCCTCAAATCTCCTCCCGCAGAATGGGGCCTCAACATCCTGCGAGAGACCCTTATCGGCGCCCTGCGCCAGGGCAAGATCCCGCGTCATGTGGCCTTTGAGATGGACGGCAACCGCCGTTATGCCCGCAGTCACAAAATCGAGACCATCGAGGGGCACCATCTGGGCTTTGAGGCGCTGGCGAGGGTGAGCTCCCCTCTCTCCTTTCCACTTATCATCAAGACGGCAGAAAGCTAATCTTGTGTGATTCCATGCGCAGATCCTGGAGGTGTGCTACAAGTGCGGCGTTGAGGTCGTGACCGTCTACGCCTTCAGCCTCGAAAACTTCCACCGCCCCAAGTACGAGGTCGACGGGCTGATGCAGCTTGCTAAGCTCAAGCTCGAGCAGATCGTGCAGCATGGAGAGTTGTTGGACCGCTATGGTGCCAGCGTCCGGGTGTTGGGTCGTTTGGACCTCGTGCCGCCCGATGTGCTGGAGGTCGTGGAGCGGGCTGTTGCTGCCACGGCACACAACACCGAGTATGGGGAAGACCTAATAACCCCCTTTTGGCCTGCACACGAAGACTGACCGCCTCAGTTGCGTCCTCAACATCTGCTTCCCCTACACCTCCCGCGAGGAAATGACGACAGCCATGCGCCATACCGTCGAGGAGTACGCCACGACGGCGCCGGCCCAGCCTACACCCTTCTCGCAGAACCGTATCAAGCAAAAGATCCTCTCTAAGAAAGGGGAGAAGCTTGAGGCCCTCGCCGCTATCAACGAGCTGTCCCCTCCCCCAACCCCCTCAACTCGCTCCGTCGACGAGCACGAAGACGACGCCGTCTCCGAGGCCACGACCCTGCACTCGGACTCGCACACCCACAAGAGCACCATTTCGACCACCACCGACGACGGCAGCGTGGCCGTCTATCCCAATCCGGAGACTATCACTCCAGAAACCATCACGCAGCACCTGTACACGGCGGGGTGCCCGCCGCTCGACATTTTTGTGCGCACTAGTGGCGTCGAGCGGCTGAGCGACTTCCTGCTGTGGCAGGCCCACCAGGACACCCAGATCTTCTTCCTTAAGTGCTTCTGGCCCGAGTTTGACCTGTGGCATTTCCTGCCCGTCCTGCTTGAGTGGCAGTGGCGGCAGAAGCAGAAGGAACGGGATGAGAGGCCAGCGATGGTTAGGAGGAGGTCGAAGCAGGCTTGTAA